GTATTTGTATATACAATTTTCTCTCGCTTTATACAAACACAAACGCAAATTATACATTTCTGTTTGTATAAAGTGAGAGGGGCGAGTGAGAGTGGCGAGCGAGATTCTCTGGGGAGAGAGGTGAACAAAAAGATATGTATATATACATAGTTTTCTCTCACTTTATACAAACACAAACACATTTTATACATTTGTGTTTGTATAAAAGTGAGAGAGGCGAGGGAGAGACTGCCAGCGAGAAAACGAAAGTGGTGAGCGAGAATTTCAGGGAGAGAGGCGAATGGCAACAGTTTGCTACGGGTTACAATTAAATCAAACTGTGATTATAGCATTTAATTTGAATTAATAGTTTGCTATTTTACACAATTTTCCCAATTTTTTTCACTCAATGAATATTTTATCTAATTTTCCCATCATTGAATGAAATAAAATATGAACCATAAAATGTGTGATATATATATAGAGAAACTTACATGAATATACTATATTAAGAAAAAAATATTTTTCATTTATAGCAATAACATTTTTTTTCACTTGATCACTTTTAATACATTTATAATACAATTTTTAATACATATTACAGAGAACAATTTATAAAACACATATGATACAAGTTTTATTGATGGATAATACATTTATCACACATTTTAATACAATATATCAATTTCTTACCAGACAAGCATAATATATTTTAAAATAGTTATAATACATATATATTGCATACATAATTCACTTTTAATACATATTGCAGATTTATCATAATATTGCTATAAATGGTAATAAATAAAAAATATCGCTAAAATCAACAATTATTTTTTAAAAAGTACCCATCAATTTGGTGAATATAAATGATAAAGTAAGAATTGATTTGGTGAATATAAATATAAACTGATGGAATAATACTTTTTTGGTTTTTCATAATAAAAACACTTCTCTTTCGGCTACATATGAAAATGTTTAAAACAATTTAATATGAAAAAGGACAAAATTGGTGATGTATGTTTGATAATCACTACTTTCAATATGTTTGATTTTAGCATGAAATTAATGCACTGAAAATGTACAATTGCACACAAGTGAAACAAGGCATGAACCATATGATATTGACATACAAGTGAAAATTGTCATAACTTGTACAGTGTTACATAATTATTTGCGATAATACCAAAGGGGTGATGAAATATTTATGGTCTATGAGCATGAAAATATATATAGTTGCGAATGATATTGACCAACAAATGTTGGTTCGTCTTCTCGGTCATATGATCGAGAAATGTAAGTTCACCAAGAGAAGATTGTTCGTACTATGTGGGATGATTATATTAAAGACTAATACACTACAATTTATGTTCAATTTTTTTTATTGAATTAAAGTTTGATCAATTAAAGTTAGATGAAACGATTAATTAAGTGGAGAACAATAGCTTTGTAATAATTTATTATGCGATTTTATAATTTTTTGTTTATTTGATAAGATTGAATAAACAATTGGGGCTATTTTAATAGTTTTACAACTTATGATATTCTTATGTTTATGAGAAAATATACAATACAAAAATTCCATATTGCATGTCGAAACAAAACTTTGATTTCATCTCACGATTTCATATTATGATATCATATCGCATGGCGAAACGGACCCTTTGAATATTTTTCTTTGTCCCATAATTCTTTCATTACACTAACCTCAAACTATATACACAATATAATGTAAAGTCCACCACTATTTATAGATATAAAATTCTTCCTTACAATGAATAAGAAGAATTTAGATAATAATATGAATAAATGAATACTATAAAAAGTTACATGAATTACACGTCATAATAAGATAAAATAATGGACAAATAAAACATTAGAGGTTATCTGAGTTATAGGAAAAATTATGGCCACCAATGAGTAAATTATATATTGGCATAAAATGCCACTCACGTGAAGAAGTAAAGCAACAAAGAATTGCTACCAAGGGATGGAGACACTCATAGGCGGACCCAACCCTCTAGGTGGGGTGCATGTGCATTTGTTAATTATTTTGGAAAAAATCATGTATATATATATATATGCCTATTTACCTTGAGAAACTAACAGAAATTAGGATATGATTAACAGTGTATTCATGAAATTAAAATCATAGGAGTGTCATTGTGTTGTTGGTACAAGCTAGAGGATCCCGTGAGACTTGGGTTTGAATCCAGCTAGAGTGATTATTTCATTGTTTTTATTTTAAATTTATCTTAGAACTCATATTTGAGCTAAAGTGATATTGATGCACCCAAAGTCTTCAAATTCTGAGTTCGCCTCCGGAGACGCTACAACAAAAATACTTTTTAGCAGTAATAAAAAGTCATATTAACAAAGAGTGTCAAAAATTATTGGTATTAGTTAGTTGTCATAGAATTTAATGTCGCTATAAACTTTAGGGGCAGTTACAAAGAATGATAATTGCCTTTAAAAAATATATTTAACGATAATTAAGCTTTTGCCATTGGAGATTCTTATAAGTAGCTCAACTAATTGGTTACCTAAACTCTCACCTTGTTGGTGAGGTTCGATTCCCCACATTGTAATCTCCTCCCCATTTCCCTTTCCTCTACGCCCAATTAAAAAAAGGTTCTTACCATTAATTAGTTACCGCTAAAAATATTTTTGATGTAGCGAGAAAAGCAGTATCACACTAGCAATCAATATGTTTACATATAATGCCCTTTAATATTATTAAAATTAAAATGCTGCTCCAATAAAATTAAATAACAATTTAATAATTACGCCAAAATCTGAAAGTAATAATTACATTATGGTCCATTAACTTGATGCAAAAGTAAGCATTTGATGAATGGCGACTACTTCCCATATGTTGAAGAATGGAATGGAATCTCATTAATCTTCCAACAATAAACTTGGAAAAGCTATTTTTTAAATTTTATTTTTCAACTTCAACATGGTTTGCCTCTTTTCATACACATTCCTTCAGTGTACCTTATTTATTCATTCACCCACTACAATATATTTTCCAAAATTAACAAAGTTTTACCAAAAAGAAACTAAAGATGATGGCTCCAAATCTCGTTCTTCTTCAAAGAGTTTTGCTGAGTTTGTTTCTTTTATCAGGTAGGTATTATTACTGTTTCCATGTTGCTATTTACTCCCTTTGTCAATTTATGTGGCAATTTGTATCTTACATGGCGTTCTAACATGTAGTATGTCACGTAGGACGCGTGTGTTTACTGGTTTAATTTTATACAAGTTTAAGTGTTTACTTGTGGACATCCAAAATTGGAGGACATAGATGATAGCTCAAAACAAGTTTAAGGCACATTTATATATTGTGTCTTCTTTATTTGATAAATATTTAATGACACTTTCAATCTTTTACCCTTGTTTGGTCTCATTTATTTGACAAATAGTCCATGCACTCTTACTTAAAAAAACATTTAGTTTAAATGATAATTTTAGAACATTGCAGAATTTGTCGCATTTCTTAAATTTTCTGTTCAGTAAAAGTATATCACATGAATTAAGATAGATAAAACACCAGTTTAAGTACTTTATTTTATCTCAATTAAATCCTTTCGCAAGAAAATTATACTACCTTATACGTAGGATAAAAAACCATTTTTTTTATATATAATAATTTTTTTAATACCATTGAGGCTTTGACACAAGAGATAGGAATCGTTTAGATATTGTATTTTGCCACGTATAAGAATTTTTTGGAGTTCTCTTATTAAAATTTTTGACTTTATTACTGGCCTGTTCCAAACACAAAAAATAATTATTTTGGTTTTCGTCATATTCTTTTTCAAGTATGTGACACATTTATTGAATTAACTAAAGATATGTAATTATGTTTTGCATTTGAATAAATCCATCACCAGATTTTACCATGTTAAATGTGAAGCTTGGTTTGATCAACAATATATATAATATTTGGTTGAAGTTGGAAAAAAATATTATTTGAAGTTAATTTATTTATTTATTTTTAAAAAAAAAAGAGTATTCCATTTAGTCTTACCCGTTTAATTATTTTAATACCCATGTCCTTTACAAAATTCAAAAATAAATATTTATTTGTGTATGATATGTTTATATCAAATCAAATAATTTAAGTTTAATAGTTAATAATTAAAATAAAATATATATTACTAAATTATGATTAAGTGGTAAACTTTATATTTAAAAGATAAATATCTTATATTCATTCATTTAGTCTAAACATCATGGTAAGTAAAATTTATCAAATTCAAATATTAAAAAATCAAAGAAGCTAACTACGAATAGGTTGCACTTTATAAACTATCTTGTTACACACATTAATTAAAGAAATGTGCATCTTTTTTTTTTTTTTTGTGAAGTAAGGTAGTTTATAAAGAACTACATTATTTTGATACTTGCACTTTACTTTATAAATTATTCTAAATAATTACTCCACTTTGTTTTATTAGTATCCCAAAACTTATATTAAGCCAAAGAAATAATGATTATAATTTGTATGTAATGCAACCATGACTCTTTTAAAAAAAAATCATTCTACATAAACGAGTGAATTTTTAATTTATGAGTTTTGAATCACAATCCATTTTATTTATTTAATTTGATAAAGTTTGGCCATATGAAAAAAAAAATTTTTGCCCGTAAACTTTTCATATATCTTTTAATTATTGTGACTTATAGTACTTTTTACATAGTTTACAAATATATAATTTCATTTTTTAAAAAAAAAACAGAAGATTCTAGATACAAATTTTCGATCAAATTTAAATGGTTTAACTCTCAAAAAATAAAAAATGTCACATAAATTGAGACGTACTACTTTTTTCAAATTTTACAACAAAACATCACTAAACTAAGATTTATGCTAAAATTATTGAATTTTGTCAACTAAAATAAGATTTATGCTAAAATTATTGAATTTTGTGGAATACGCAACTCATGCATAGCTCCTCCGATCATCCCCTAGGCCCAACTCCATAACAACTTACGCTAAATTTGTATGACAGGCATAAAATTCTCTGAATCTGCAAGAATTTTCACCATAATAAACAACTGCAGAGAGACAATTTGGCCGGGCGTCTTCCCCGGCGACAACTTCAACGGCGGCGGATTTATTCTAAAATCAGGCCAATCCATGGTTTTCACAGCACCAGTTACTTTTTCCGGCAGAATTTGGGGAAGAACAGGTTGCAATTTTGACAAAAACGGCAACGGTTCATGCTTAACTGGTGATTGCGGTCCATCTCTCAAGTGTACCGGCACAGGAAAAACTCCTGCTTCACTTGCCGAATTTACCCTTGGTGATCGCGATTTTTACGATGTTAGCCTTGTCGATGGATTCAACGTCCCTATAAGTGTTACCCCTTTAAATGGTAAAGGAAATTGCAGTGTTGCTGGTTGTAATGGAGATTTAAGACAAAATTGCCCTTCTGAACTTGCAGTTAAGAATAATGGGAAAGTAATTGCATGCAGAAGTGCTTGTGATGTGTTTAATACTGATGAATATTGTTGTAGGGGTAATTATGGAAATCCATCAACTTGTCAACCTACTTTTTATTCAAAGAAATTCAAAGAAGATTGTCCAACTGCTTATAGTTATGCCTATGATGATCCAACTAGCATTTTTATATGCTCTGGGACTGATTATGTTGTTGCCTTTTGCTCATCAAGGTATGTTACAATAGCTTTTGCTTTCACTTAATTTAGGTTCGCATCGAGAAGTTCTATTTTAGAATAAAACATTTTTTGAAATCTCTAGTTACGGATGAATAAGTAATTATCGTTAGAGGTAGTAAAATCAAATCATGAATACTGAGCGAGTTATTGATCCATACATTTATCAACTCAGCTCATTTAAGCCATAGAAAGTTCGACTGATATGTAAGTCAAGTTGACGAAATTTGGTTAAATTTTTTTTTATCATTTGATATGTTATTTATAGTCATAATAAAGAAAAGAATTGTTAGGTACTAAAAATATTATAAATAAAACACTTAAAACTTAGTATGGATTGGACGGGTTGAATTATGACCAACATTTTAGCTCAATTCATTTTAGTCAAAGTAACATTTGGGCGGCTCAATAATCCATCCATTTATTAAGTCAGTCCATTTTGATCCATCTAAATTTAAGTCAACTCATCCATTTAACCCCTTAATTTCCACATCACTATAATCTTTGATAGTACTTTTAGCATTCTAATATTTGTTCATAGTTATAAAAAGATACATGTTGTCAAAATTTAAATTTAATTTTTCATAAAAACTATATATATATATGAAAACAAGTTAAGATACCATTTTTAGCCAAAGAAACTGTGAAAATAAAAGAAGTAACTATGATTTGTTGAAATTGCAGGAAGAAACCAGTATGCACATACCATGATCACAAGCTCATTTGCAGTGGATCAAAGGGTTTAGGATCATTGATAAGCAATTTGTGGATGATATTTCTTGGATTAACCCTCATAGCCAATTGCAAGATGATCATCTTTTAATATGCATAAAGGGAATTCTTTTGACTTTTTTTTTCTGGGGAAGTTATTCGGATTTGTATAAAAAAAAAATTCGTCAAAAACTATTGTACTATTGCAAAGTTCGTGCTACTTCTTTATTTTTAGTTTCTTGACATAATATTTGCAAGTGTATTCCATGTTAATGAGTGTACAATTTTAAAAATCATTTATATTGTTATATATAATATGCTTGAGTTATTTTTATTATATAAATGTTAAAGGAAAAAAATATCTTGTTATGATTTCTGGTTTATTAGTTATAGAAATAAAAAAATAAGAAGGAAATAAAAACAAAAACAAAAGAAAGAAATTGAAAAAGTAACCCCTATAATTATGTACCAGGTAATTATCAAAAATTATCATCCTTCTAGAAACTAAAAAATGTAATTACTCTCCCTTTACATTCAATTATAGATGAAATGACCTCGAAGACCTTTATATTTGATTTGATTTGTCACTGGACTCAGAGGCGGAGCCAAGGTTAGGAGTTTGGGGGGTGCTAAATTAATTTTGTTTGGGGTTCACATGTTAATATACATATATTTATTTAATATAAATATAGGGTCTACGAAAAAGCTAGTGGGTTCGTCCGAACCCATGAACTCCCACCTAGTTCCACCTATGACCGGACCATTCTACTCACGACTTTACTAATTGAACATTTAAATTCGATCAAAGAAAAATTTAAACCGCTTTAATCATTGACCAAACATATATGACATTAAGATGTTGAGCTGGACAAAGTCCAAAAGAATCTCACATATTAAGAGCGTAGACTAATAATTTTTATTTTAAATACAACTAAAATCAAGGAAGATTAAAAAAATGAGAAGAGAAAGTAAAAAGTTAAATGGAAAAGCATAAACACCCTTTCGTCTTTCTCTCTTCTTTTTTTACCCCTCCCCCCCCCCCCCCAGAGTTTTAATTCATCTTTGCTTCCTTTGTGACTTGAACTCACAATCTTAAAATTGGAAGTCATGAAGGTGCTTACAATCCGATCAACTCCCTCTTATCACCCCTTCGTCTTTCCATTTCCTGGAGAGAGAAAAGGGCACCTATTGCTTCTACCTCCGCCATGACCACCACCATCTCTACCGGCAAGTTCTTCTCAAATTCTTCTATTTTCCATCTATTCTCAGTAAAAATATCATAATGACATTATAGACACTCAAAACCCATCTTCATAACCTTACATTTTCTCCATGAAATAGAAATAGAAATATACATGCATATATATAAAAAACGAACGAAGACACTAACTGGGGAGCAAAGGCAAGACGCAGAGATAAATTAAATTATTTGGTTGCGAAATAATTTTTGAAACAGTGGAGTCCGCGTTCTCTCCACGACGCGGAGAGGGAGAAAATTTTGTGGGGACGGGAATTTGAAGCATGTCCACGACGCGGACCTGGGCGCTTGTTTTTTTTTTGCCCAATCTTTTCTTCCTCTCCCAAACTTGATTCAACTCATACCCACTGCAATTCTAAGGTCAAAATCCTCGAATTCTTATAAGCCAGAACAATCTCAGCGAAACCCACACAAGAACTATCAATTTACTCAACTCATTCGCAAATCCTCGCCTCAAGAATTCAAAACAACATTCCATTATACTAATTAAATTAAAGAACCTTTCAAGAACTCAACAATTCAACATCAAGGATGAATTCATGGGTAAAAGATTACGTACTTGGCGTGAGCGAACAAACACAACACTATGGAAGCTTACATACCTTAGTTTGGCGAAACAAATCCTCGATTCGCAAGAAATCTTGACGAACGCTTGAACTCCTCTCAAAACCCTAAGCGTGCTTTGGAATTATTAAAACTGATCTAAGTCAGTTTAGACCCCTAAAATATTTCAAAAAACGTTTAAAGCTAATAGGGTAGGAAAAGACCAAAATACCTCTCATTAATTCGGGTAAATTTCCTTAACTGGACAGGCTGAACTCAAACGGTCCCTCATCCGAACTCGGATTTTAGCAAACTCGGTGGCGTTGGAAAGGGGATTCAAAGATCTTTCATTTGATATCTTATGAGTCACCTAACTCATCATGTGCTAAAAGTTATGGTCGTTTGAAGTTGACCCAAAACTCACAATTGGAGACTAATTTGCCCAAATCTCAATTGAGCTATTTCCAAATTAGCGCTTTCTAAATTTAGCTCTTTTTAAGGTGGGATGTTACAAAAAGTTTGTGTTCAATTTTCTTAGAAAAAACTTTTTCCCATTTTTTTTAGTCGGTTGGTTAAAGCTTTTCATTTGTCAAATAATTCAATTATGTTGTTTACTAGTAAAATTACTGAAATTTAATATCATGAAATTTATAAAATAATATTGAAAACATATCCGTCATTTACTTCATAGGCTTTATCGACCTCCCGATCTTCTAAAAGAATTCCTTTTACAACCCCTTGTTCCAAAAAAATTTTCTTTTGTATTCGATCGGTTTTAAAAAAAAGGTTGTGTTCAATTTCTTTAGAAAAACTTTTTTCCATTTTTTTGTTTTCGGTTGGTTAAAGTTTTCATTTACCAAATAGTTCAATTATGTTATTTTATAGGCTTTATATATTAGACCTCATGATCCTGTAAAAGAATTCCCTTTACACACCCCATGTTCCAATTTCTATTTTTTTTTCTTTTGTATTCGATTATTTTAAAAAAAAATTGTGTTCAATGTTTTTAGAAAAAAAAATCCATTGCTTTTTTTTGTATTCGGTTGGTTAAATTATTTTGGAGAACTAATGTTTTTGAAAGTGGGGAATATGATAGTGAAAATAGGAAAATTAAGTTGTACAAATGACATTTCACATTGTTTGTATTCTTCCTCCCCGCACAATTACACCCTTACCCCTAAGTTTATGACTAAAGACATAACAAATTTATAGGTAATTTCAAAATATTTATTAAAAATTTGTTAGAATCTGAGATTTTCACAATAAACGTGAAGTTTAGAAAAATAATGTAGAGCTTTACAAAAGGCCAATTAGAACGTTGAACAAAAATTTAAAATAGCTTTATACTTATCTTCCACTAATCTAATATCATAAAATCCTAGTAAGTTGAATATATATAAGAGATAAAGAGAGTTAAAAAAAAATACAAACAAAAATAAACATTATAGAATGAAAATAGATGTGCCGGAAAGTCGCAACACTCAAAATACAAATATTTATAATAAATACAATTTGAATTTCAAAAGAATGTATGCATTATGAAAAGCTAAATAAGTTATCAAATAGCATAATTAAATCCAGTAAAAACATTACACTATAGATCATAATAAGATGATTGGATCTCTTATAGATCATATAAGATGATTGGATCTCTTTATTAATTCTGTTGGAAATGTCGTCCCTAAAACCCTAAGAATAGGCAATTCGATAAAAATCAATAAAAACATGCATGTATTATTTAGTAGTGGGGAAGTCATAATTCAAAAGTTTTTATTTTAATCAAAGTAGAGGGGGCAGCACGTTTGTCTTCCCTTTGAAGACTAACTCCATCGAGATTCCTTTTACCTGAAGAGAAACCCACCATTTGGCATAAAACACTTTTACTTAATTTTGAAAAAATAAGTAAGATTTTTTATTTACTTTCTGTGTTTAATGTATAAGTAAAAAGTAATATTCTTGAAAAAAATTTGTATCTCAACAAATACTAGTATGAAGGTGGGTTAGGGCCCATAATGCAGAAAAAAATTACACGTAGTATTATTTGATCTACGAATTTAGTTACGTGTGAAAGTTACAATTTACCATACTTATACGGTTAAAAAAATGAATAGTAAGTGATGAAGATGAAAATTATTATACAATGATTAACAATTTTTAAAACATTCCTCTTGCTTGATAAAGCTTATTTAGGCATTGCTAATATATCATCTTTATTACTATAAGTTTTATTATAATTATACAACATTATAATAGATAAATCCTAAATATGTTACTAAAAAAATATTATATATGACAAATTATGTAAATATCATTCCATAAGTTTTACTCAATCATTTTTTAGCTCAATTGATAATATTATCCAAAATGGTCATTCGGCTAACCCCCCCCCCCCCCCCCCAAAAAAAAAATAAAAATAAAATATTAGTCTAAATAATTTATGTATTTAACTAAAGTCCAAATTAATTAATTTGGACTACAATAGATGAGCCTAGTTTGCTAAGCTCAATGCCATCTCATCCTAGAGGCCCATTTTGGTACCACGTGGCAAATGACGTGGCATGCCAAGTCAAATAAAGAAGGCAATATGATCATGCCATGTGTCAAAATAAGAAGCCCTGTCACACCCCGAGCCTACATCCTGAACGGGATTGGCACTCGAAAACCATTACTGGCCCCAAGCGAACCCTTGGCCTGACTTACTTACTCAACGGAAGACTTTAAGTATTAAGAAAAGAACTCAAATGCAAGATAATTCAACTGTCTCAAACTTAACTCATAATGTTTTAGAAATAAACATTTAACTTAGCCAAAGTGGCAACTCAAATCTGAACATAAGCCAATAATAAAGTAAAGACAAATGAACTAATTAACTGTCTATATCTATGAAGCCTCTAATAACTGAGATGGATGTCGGGACAAGACCCACGACATCCTAATGAACTAAATACTGATAAGCAATAAAAAGGGATCCTCCGAAAGCAAGAAGGCTCACCCACAAATTCTGGAGCTCAACTAGAATCAATGATGCGCTGGATGTTGATCCTAGTTACATGTGTCTGCATCATTAAAAGATGCAGGCCAAATGGCATCAGTACATTGAATGTATGAGTATGCGAGGGGGAATTTAAAACAAGACATAAGCTTGAAAGGAACTGAAAGAAACAATTACCTTGGCTTTACTCAACTCATGAACAACTTAACTCAATATAAAGCAATAAAACACATGCAATATATAAAAAGCCTTTAAAATAGTAGAAAACAACTTAGTTCGTTAAAGAAAATGCAATAACAAATTCAACTTTACTCATATAATAAAGTAATATAGTTTATGTGGGAGATTCTCTAACCGACAACCACCACTATGAGCCT